AACACCAATGAAATATTATGACGTTAACATCTGGTATAATATCAGAAACATCTTATGCAGTTCTTGGAACAACATAGGAGAGTGGAGACATTGAAAATAGGTTTATTCATATTATTCTACAACTATATGATTACAACATTTATACACTTATATGTTATAATTATAGTGAACTTTTAACCTATAAACATTTCATTAAATGACAAACCAGAAGAACCGCCCAAAAGCCAACCCGTGAAACCACAGAAAGTCCTAACCTCTTTCAATCAATAAAACTAAAAGTTGAAATCTGGAACGAAACAGGGGACCAAATCATCAATTCGTTACCGCATTCATATCGGTATTTCTTGCCCCCAAAATCAGCCTTGAAAAAACAAATAAGATAGAACAAAAACCAGAACAGGCAACCATCTACCCCCCGCCCCCTGAAATCAGCCTTTTCTACATTTTTTCCCCCCGCCCCCCCAAGATCCGCGCCCAGCGGCTTTCGTCTGTCAACTGTCTGGCAACTGACTCCACTGTCTGGCAAACTATCCAGCAACTCACGGACAACTATCTGTCAAGTGTCTTCCAAAAAGCCTCCCAAACAATCGCAAGGCCTGTCATGGAAAGAGGCCAACGGAAGGTGAGGCGGTTCTTCTGGGGATGGAGGGCCCGGACGAAGACTTGGTGCCTTACCTTGCGCCGTTCCCAGAAGAAGTCCCACGGCCCTTTCAACCAAATGCAGCGGCAGTCCCTCTACCCAGCATGGCGGCGACGGGGGGCTCAGAGTAGAAGGAGGAGCCAGACGACGGGCAGCTGGTCGCGGAGGCGGACGGTGAGGGGTGGAATAGCCTTGGGGCGGCGGCGGAGGCGGCGGAGGTGGAGGAGCCGCCAGTTGAGCAGGTCCACGCCGCGGCTGTGTCGCTTGGCGTGGACCTCTTAACCCTCACTGCGAAGCCTTCACCCGGACATGGGCGGCGCCGCAGCTCCTTGCTTTTTTTGGCAAAGTTTTTGGCTAGCGCTGACGCTCAAGAGTTTTTACGGGAGTAAAAGGTGGCAGGAATTGACGAAATAATGGTTGAGAGGAAATGCTGGCGAGAGCTCGCAAGTTCATACGCGAGGGAACCTGAAGTAGTACGTCGGACTGGCTGCAAAGCTGGAGGACCAATTTGGCGTTCTCCTTTGCCACTGCCAGAAAAGTGTCAAGCAATTCAAGGCTATGGCAGGCCAGTGTTTTTTCCTTTTTTGGAAACCCCGAAAATCAAAGAGTCTAGTCGCAACTTTTGGGCGCAGCAACCGGTGCAGGCTGCCCCACATGCTCTCAGGAGCACCAAGGCTGTGGTTTTGTGGCTGGGTGCTTGCGCGTTCAAAAGGACTTCCCAGCTCTTTGGACAAAATTTTTGAATCGCGCACGGAAACGTGGCAGAACGCCAAGCGCGCTGTGAGGGACGCCTGCCTCACTGCTGCCGCGCCTTAGCTCTGACAGAATTGTTTCAACCGACTCTTAAGCCGTCCCCCACCAAATTCCCACCAACCAACAGCTTGTTGAGGTGACCGACCCAAGAAAGCAGCCAGCGACGCACCAATTCACCGCCAAGCACCCAACAGCCGGTTTTTTGAGCACTAAATCCGCGAAGGAGAACGGGCTCCACCTCCACGGAGAAGAGGGGAGTGGCGACAGCATTGCGCAGCTAAAGTAGGCGAGTCCTCGTCCTCTGTTGCTGCTCTGTGGGCAACAAACCACCTGCTGCCCCTGTGACGGCTGCGCCTGTGCCATTGGCGTTCGTGCAAATGGTTGCTGCTCAAGCCTGCTTCAGTTTGATTTTCCTCTTCCTCTGTGCTGTCTCCGCGTTTGCCTATCTGAGGCGAGGAGGCAAAGCACAATCGAAGGAAGCGTAGCTCCCTCGGCAACTGCAGCCTGGCAAAAAACAAAAAGGTCTTCACATGTAAGCTGCGACCCGCAGATCTTTTTTACTTGACAGGTGCGCCGTGAGACCGGGCTGGAGCAGGAAGCGGCGTCAGTCGCTCCACGAGCATCAGCGCCACGGTGGGAAACGCCAGGAGCTGATGCAAGAGGTGGCCAGGCTGGAGGCTGGGGGACACAGAGCTCGAAGTGCTTTTTTCCACACGCGCTTTGAGGAGAATGTGAAGCACTTGCAGAGCTCGAGAAAGGCTTTTAGTTGTTTGAAGAGCTGTGCCAAAATAATGGGTTTTTTTGTACAGTGCAGCACTCTCAGCGCCTCAACCTTCAAAACTGTGGAACTGTCCCTATGTTCTGCTTCTTGGAAAGCAACAAATACAGCGCAGCTATTTTCTGCTTCTTGAAAGCAAAACATAGGGACAGCGCAGCGCTTTCAGCACCTTTGCAAAAATAGGGACAGTGCAGCACTTTCAGTCGACCTCCAAAAGCGTGGAACTCTCCCTATTTTCTGCTTTTTGCAAAGCAAAAAATAGGGGCAGCGCAGCTCCAACAGTGTGGAACTGTCCGTATTATCTGCTTCTTGAAGAGCAACAAATAGGGACAGCACAGCACTTTTGAGCACCTCGACCTCCAAAAGTGTGGAACTGTCCATATTTTCTGCTTGAAAACCTTTAAAAGTGCTGTGCTGTCCCCCATTTTTTTAAAACGTGCTGTACTGTCCCTAAAAATACTTACAAAAACACAACTTATTTGAGTTTTGGAGAAGGAAGCTGGAGACTCCAAAATAATTTGCTTTTTACACTTTTGAAGGTTTTCAAGCAATAAATAGGGGCAGCGCAGCACGCACCTCGGCCTCTAAAAGTGTGGGACTGTCCCTATTTTCTGATTCTTGGAAAGCCTAACACTGAGACAGTACAGCACTTTCCGAAAATGGGGACAGTACAGCACCCACAGCACCTCGACCTTCAAAAGTGTGGCTGTCCGTTTTTTCTTCTTGGAAAGTAAAAAATGGGGACAGCGCAGCGCCCGCAGCACCTCGACCTCCATTGTTGGACAAAGCAACACCAAACAACAGCACTTCACACCTGACACGCTTCCATCTGCTGTCCGCAAAACAAATCATCTGCTGCCACTTCTTCTTGAAAACCATCTGCCAAAGCCAAAGCCAACAGAAGCCGAAATCATAAACGGATTCTGTTTTAGGTTTATGGGTTCTTATCAACATCAACCAGTTGCTTGCAAGTTTGCATGAGCTTCACTATCTTCACAAAACACCGCCATTTGCGGTGTTTTTGCTGTTCAGAAGCTCTACGCAAGGCAGATTGACTTGCAAGAGCTCTTGGCAGAGGTGAAGCGCGGATCTTCGGGGGACCATATATATATATATAAACACAAATATGAATATATACAGATTGTACCAGAACAACAGAGCAACCAGCACCGTTTGGCTGGCGCGAGGTTTCTTCAGCGGGCCGCTGCCCGATTTTCTGGCTCCTGGCCCTCAGTGGAAGCGGTGGAGGTGCAGCGGGCGCTTCCAACGGCCGGGCGCCAAGGCACGAAGAGAGGGGCGGAAAAGGCTTCTTGACTGCTACTGGGTTGAATCTTTATAGACTTTAAACTTTTTGCACTAAACCCCCAAAAGTTAAACTGTTTGCAGGGGGGCCAACAGTAACCAAGGCTTGGATGAATTTTTTCGAGGGCGCCCTCGTCACCTTGGCTTGAAGGGACGGGAAGCCAGCATTTTTTGGGTCCCACGGGTTTCTGAGGTTTGCATCTTGGTTTAAGGGAAGTCAGATGGGAAGCCACCATTTGGGTTTCTGAGGGTTTCATCTTGGTTTGGGGAGGTCAGATGGGAAGCCGCCATCTTTTTGGGGTCTGTTTATTTTATCGATATGTAGCTTTTTTGACGCGCAAATCTGTGGATCAAGGGTTGGTTCCAGAACTGGTTTATGTGCGCAGACGCTTTGGAGCTTGTTTATGCAAGGGGGAAATAACAGGTCCCACCTTATGTTGCCTAAGTCCTCCAAATAGGATTTTGTGTGTCTTCTGAGGTTACCCTATCAGGTTGGCTTCAAGGGAGATCAGAGGGAAACCAACCATCGGCCGGATGTTGCTTTTCTCCAGTTTGGTTTGGGGTGAGCCTTCTTTCCGCCAAGCCCCAAGCTCATACCTGCTTCGGTTAGACGTTTTGCCTGAATCGGCTTCGACGTCTGGCACGAGGTCGGCTTCGATTCTCTCCACGGGCCGCCTGCGGAACCCTGCTTGATCAAGGACTTCAACGTGCCATTCCCTTTGCAGTCGATGCTCGCCAATACATTGGTATGGGTCAAAATAAAGCCACCAGAGGACCGCTTGTCTTAGTCTTTGTTTCCATTTACCAGGGTTCCATGTTGGGTACCTATTTTTGACCCACCCTATATCCAAGATTTGTGGTCTGGCGATTCTGGGGGCTTACATGAGCTGAGAATATGATTGAAGGGCCAAACAAGGAACTATTGCAAAGATGGTCATGGCTGGTTGATTGGTAGGATTCCTTGCAACGGATGCGAAGAATCATACTGTGACTCCCATCAAAGACACAAGCAACATTGCAAGCAGCAATATTACAAGTTGGCAAAGATGGACATAGACCCCTCTAGTCATGGGATGTACTCTCATTGCAAAGGTTCGGGGAACCACGACTGTGGCACGGCACACCATTTTTGTCATGGCGCATATTCTCCTTTCAGGTGGTTCTAAACGTCAGGGGCTGAGTTCAAGTGAACTTGTGGGCGGGATGTTGAAATGGGAAAATACAGGGCCCCCCCTGTGCTGGAGTAGGGTTTGTCTTAAAATAGGGGAACCCCTCAAAATTTGTGGTTTCCCTTTGGATTCCCTTTCAACACAACCCCCTAACAAGGTTCCAGTCAAAAAGACACACCCAGTATCGTTTCCAAGGCGCCCGTTGTATAAAAGCTGCAATCCTTGCACACGGAATTTGACGTCTCCGATCTCGCCGATTTTTGGCGGTGAATCGGGTCTGAATGTATCACACCTCTGAGCCGTTTTGGAGCCACTGGCTCGTTCACCCGATCGGACGACCCATTCGAGCGAAGGCTCGATGATCTCCGCAGCCCAAGGCTGGCCGGAGCTGGTGTTGGCAGCGAAAACGACGCGGGTGGATGAAGCTGCCGGCTTTTGTGGGCAACACCCGAAATTAGAACGAGCTTGCTCGATGAAGGTTGTAGGGGTTGATTTCCCATTTATTGCAAACACCGTTCTTTTCAACAACAAGCTGTTTCCGCCTGGGTTTGATGGTGTCCTGAACACAAACCTCATGTAAGCGGTGCCTGCCAAAGGTTCCTGTAATTCAAGTTTACACCCAAATAGGTGCGGCAAGCCTCCTTTCAGCACTTTCACCACGTACCATGGGTCTTGGGTGGACAGCGATCAGATATGCCAGGTTTGGATTATGACTCAACTGGCCCTGCGTGTTTGTGCTTCAGCCGGCAAATCAGTGCAAGGAAACCACCATTCGGCAGAAGGATCACTCCCCAGGATTAACGGTGGAACTCAACAGTTGGCCAGCGGAATTTCCTTTTGGGGGACCCCTTTGTTGGGGTCCATGGAAACTTGTAGGGGAGCAAGGCTTGATTTTGGAACCTGACAGGTATCCATGCCCGGAGCATCCCGCCTTGATGATGTACTCCCCCAGCGGCGTGTTCTCCTCCTACGACATTGGCAGGGAGGTCCGCTCTGCCCGGTGCTGTTGAATTTGTTCCTCAGGGCTCCCAAAATGGGTAGGGGACCCCCCCAAACAAGTGGCTTCCCTTTGGTTTCCCCTTAAAGGCAACAAGACAACCCATCCCCCTTTGGGTGGATTTAGACATCGCCTTTTGGTCCCAAGGTGAGCTTCCTTTAGGGGTGATACAAGGGGGAACTATAGCCAGGTTTCGGCTCAAAGACTCCAGGAAGTCCTAGAAGTCAACCAAACCCCAAGCATTTGGCGAACTCCCGCAGAATTTCCTGGCGGTTTCTCTCATTGGCTCTATTGAACCTGAGCTGTGCCGCCTGGAAGAAGGCTGCGGAGCTCTGCCAAAGAACCGGCGGACCTGTTTTAGTTTCGACAGGAAGCCAAAAATCGGTCAAACCGTCGGACCTTGTTTAGCGTCTGCAAGCAAGCCACACGGGCCTCCCTCAGTGATTGTGGAATTTCTGAGGTTCAAAGCCTAAGGGGTACAAAGGGGGGTGGGTAGTTAGGTAGTTCAGAGCCCTGGCGTTCCTTAGGGTTCCTTAAAGTTTCCAGATTTCCTTGAGTTTTTTGAAGGAGCCTTAGGGACCTCCCTCCCTTGGACCACCCCCTCGGATTCCATGAGTAACTGGCAGGTCGTGCAGCACGGGGACGGGCTCCGTTTCGCGGACGGGGCGGATGCGCGGCCGGCCCATGCGCCGGCCTTGGATGGAGGGGAGGCTCAAACACATATATATATATTGTTTTTCTTTTGAATGAAACAGAAACATATATGTGTTAATACTTTTGGTTGTTGATTGTTTTTGAATGAAACAGAAGAAGCACTATTTGCATCTCACACTTGGTATACATATTTTTGTCAACTTATGTATACTTTTGTAATTCTCGGGTTCCCCATTCTTGTTCTTAAGGTTGGTTTCATTGTCTTTTTCGCCCAGTGTTTCTTTTTGCAAGGCCTATTTTTGTTTGACAGACCTCGGATGATCCACCATTGCTGTGTGCGTAGAAGCGACAGGTTTTGTCTGACTGGATGTTCCGCTCCCATGGCATGGTGTGCCATGTCCAGAGGGTCAAGTTGCTTGATTGTAGTTTCTTGTCAAGGACCATGACATTGAGAGAATCTTGTTCTTAATTTGTGAGAATCTTAATCTTTGTTCTTAATTTGTCAAGGAAATGTGAGAATCTTTGTTCTTAGTTTGGGTCAATCGTTTCTCTGTAGCTATGACTAGTCCAACTTGCGATAAGAGCCGAGGTGCACCGCATGGAGTCTTTCGAGGATGCGGTGGCGCACATGTGCGAGAGGCCCAGTGATGTCCAGCCACCTGGACGCATTTTGAAGTCCCAGCATGAGCCTTGCTCCTTCGCAGGTTGACACGGAACCCGAAGAAAGGGGGCTGCGAGAAAGGCGATTCCGCTGAACATGATTGGTCTTATTTGGGTTCCAAATCGGGGGGAGCCTTGTTGGCCCTCTAGCCCGGTTTGAGCGCCAAAAATTGGGCGGCGGCGCTGAGGTTCAGCGCGGGTGAGGTTCCGGTGAAGTACTTGCGCCAAGGCTTTCCGGAACGTCAGCGCCGGGTGCCCAAGTCTTGCGTGCCCCATATGGCCTGTCAGTACCCCTTATGCATCCCCAGAAAAAAAGAGAAACAAAGAAGCATCAACAAGTAATCCTTTTTATACCTCATACTATTATTATACCCGGCTTACACAGATGTATTACGCCGTATTTGTTGGCATGGTTTCACCCCCACACACATCAAAGCCAATCCATCGGCTTGAGGCCGGGAGGTGCTCGAAGAGATGGGTCTGAACCCTGGGCTCTTCGCGGACTTCTCGGCGTATTGCTCCGAGCCTTGGATGTGAAGACGTGGCTTGGGTTTTGAGAGCTGCCCCTACCAAAGTTGGTTTATGGGAAGCCAACTGGAGAGCCAAGCCCAAAAAGAGGGCGTCTCCTATTTTGACTCATACTCAGGAGAATTGGTCCACAAAAACAGGGACTTGCCAAATTTCCCATGCCGGGAAACCAAGTGTATAATTTTGTCTGTACATGGGAAACAGC